AGGGATGAGTAGCCTATTCAACCCTTACATAATGAGTGGTACATAGTGTCAGCTTGCTTCTTCTTTATCCTCTGGGTTCCCAGTAGAACGTAAGGCTTCAAAACAGAGCTTTGAAGTTTCGGTAGCAGTGGTGTTTATTTTTACGGGATGAGGTTGCTAGCCTCATGCCCAACCTTCCTTCTTTGCCGGGCTTATCACCAACTAAGCGAGGTTTGGGGGTATGTTGGCCGAGGAGAGAATCCCGAACCACGTGTATGGTTGGCGAGCACTCTACATCTGCGCCACTGACGCACAGTGTCAACTTAAAGGGAATGCAATTGGTTTTTTGAGTAATATTGCACTTTCACAAATTTGACCACAGATTGATATCAGTTAGAGAACCATTGAAAACCAGGGAGTACTGCACAGCTGTTTCATCCTAGTTTGGGAATCATCAGCAGTACGCACCCACCACCACGGTTCGAACCCAGGACCTTCCGGTTACAAGGCAAGCTCGTATACCATTCAGCCACTGGGACCCGATTCAGTGGCCAATCCATGAATTCTAACTTCTACCAATTCGTGATTTAGCGTGACCCCAACCAATGTCATCGGTGGGAAATCCATCCTCACACTTGACTGGATGGACCTCACTGGTCATGGGCCATTGATTCGGGTCCCAGTGGGTGAATGGTATACGAGCTTGCCTTGTAACCGGAAGGTCCTGGGTTCGAACCCTAGTGGTGGGTGAGTACTGCGGATGATTCCCAAACTAGGATGAAACAGCTGTCCAGTTCTCCAGCACTGGTTTTCAATGGTTCTCTAATTGATATCAATCCATGGTCAAACTCGTATAAACAATTATGACGCGAATTTAGTCTATATTTAAAAAAATCTATAAATGTTATTTCTCTACGAAGTGTATGTACATGTTAAAACAATATATGAACGTTCCAACTTATTGAACATGTACTTTTGTTATTGAAAGAAGACAATGTTTACAGCAACACCAACAACACTAATGCAAATTCATTAATTCAATTTATCTTTCCTCAAACAACGCCGAATAAGAATATATTTGACCTTTTTTGTTTCTATGATGCTTATCACCATAAGATATAAAGAATATAACATAACATAACAGGCCGATAGATACGTAAACAATTTCACCTTTGGGTGATTATCTTAACTTTTAATTATTCATTTAAGCAATATGATGACTATTCATGAGTGTTAGTGTTATTCTCGATTGCATAAAATCAACAAATAAAAACATTACACCTTAAAAATTTTGTACTATAAACTAAAGTACATTATGCAAGAAGGCAAGAAACACATTCACCAACCTGAAACCAATCTGGAAATCTTCGTCACTCAGCCTGCATCAACAACAAAATTCGGATTTTCAATACAAACGTCAAGTCAGTCAGTTCTTCTATACGGATCAGAAACTTGGCGGGTCACAAAGAATATTTCCAACAGGTTACAGACCTTTATCAACAACTGTCTTCGCTCTATACTGAAGGTCAGATGGCCGGAAAGAATCACAAACAAGAAGCTATGAGAACAAACAAAACAAGAACCAATCGCTCAACAAATATGCAGGAGAAGGTGGAGATGGATTGGACACTCGCTGAGGAGGCCGTTGGGTGACATCGCTCGTCAGGCCAGTGCTCGAGTGGAACCCGAAAGGGAAGTGGCGAGTGGGACGTCGAAGGGTGACATGGAGGAGATAGTGTGAAGAGGAGTTGAAACAGTATGGGCTAACATGGATGCAGGTGAAAAGTGCAGCAGAAGAGAGAAGCAAGTGGAGACGTGCAGTTGAAGCCCTATGTTCCACTAGGAACCCAAGGAAACAATGATAATAATAGTCTGTATTTAAACTCAGTCAACTGGGACAGGTCTTTCACTCTTCATGTGTAAGGATTAAGCGTACACTCCAGTTGCTTACTCAATTGAAAGTAGGTGGAGTTGGATTCAGACTCCAAACTCAATGCCTTAAGCTTATAAGCCTAATCTCCACGAAACAATACTCCACCCGAAAAAAATCTACAAAGACTTATAACTGATTGGAGGATTTCATCATGAGCTGACATCGGTCAGAGAACCATTGGAAAACTTGAAGGAAGTACTGCACAGCTATTTCATCCTAGTTTGGGACCCTTTAGCAGTACATGCCCACCAACATGGTTCGAACCCAGGACCTTCCGGTTATAAGTCAAGCTGGCTTGTACACCATTCACCCACTGGGACCCCACCTGATTCATTGGCCAACCCATGAATTCTAACTTCTACCAATTCTTGATTTAGCGCGACCCCAAGCAATATCAATCTGTGATCAACTCGTAAAAACAAAACTAATCCTTACAAACCAACTCTTCAAAATTAATCTGATGCTCACTAGTGACTTGCTACAGGACGGAGTTGCCTGCAGTTCTAGTGAGAAGTCGTGACCCCAGTGAGGTCCATCCAGTCAAGTGTGTGAGGATGGATTTCCCACCGATAACACCGGTTGGTGGTCGCACTAAATCACGAATTGGTAGAAGTTAGAATTCATGGACTGGGCATTGAATCGGGTGGGATCCCAGTGGCTGAATGGTATACGAGCCAGCTTGCGTTGTAACCGGAAGGTCCTGGGTTCGAATCGTGGTGGTGGTGGGTGCGTATTGCCGATGATTCCTGATCTAGGATGAAAGAGCTGTGCAGTACTCCCTGTAGCTGGTTTTTAATGGTTCTCTAACTGATATTAATCCATGATCAACTCGTAAAAATTATAATAATACTTTAAGAATGCATGAACATTTTATGACCTTGCCCTTACAATTTATATGCGTATCAAGTCTGAGATATTTCAAGGCATGTCGAATTTTATGGTTTATACTGATGTTAATTTATGCAAAAAGTGGTTTATCATTATTAAGAAGTTAATATTTATTTCAAGTTACCACCGGTGAATATACAAAACTGTCATAAAAATTGACCCTTTAAATAATTTCCAGTGTAATATTACAGTTCTAGTTACCACTAATCATAAAAACTATTGACTAGGCTATACAATGCATACAAGAAGTTAGAACTTATAGAATACAACAAAACAGACACTTTTTCAAGTATTGGTTTTGTAGGGATTTTGTTTGATTGGTTGGAGGATCCCATCATGAGCTGACATCAGTTACAGAACCATTGGAAAACCTCGGAGTACTGGACAGCTATTTCGTCCTAGTTTGGGACTCTTCACAGTATGCACCCAGGTTTTCCAGTGGTTCTCTATCTGATGTCAGCTCATGATGAGATCCTCCAACCAAAACAGATACTGACAAACTTGTAGAAATCTATATATTTAGAACTCTGTTGTCGGGAACAGATATTTTTCGTGTACCACACTATGCAGCACACTTAATATGTAGGGGCTCATGATACCATGCAGCTTTCCAGGCTGTAGTCAATGGATAGGGGTTCGAACACCCGACCCACTTGCTGGAAGTTGTGTGCTGAAGTTACTAAGCCACATCTGATTATACTGAGTCATGCTTGATAATTTCGCTGTAAAATCTCAGCAAACAATTCAGAAAAAGAATTCTCCTGTAGAAATCCTGTAACCAAAAAGAATTTCATGCAGCCCATCAACCATATTGCAAAAGTGATCGTATGACTACGACAGAGGAGACTGATTCCCACTGCATAAGAGTTTTGGATACTCTTGTTGACATCATGACAGCCACTCCGTCAGTGTGCTCATAGTTGTCGTCTGGATGAAGGCAGTAGATTATAAACTCACGCCAGCCACTTTCACGGACTCCTAGCACTTCTGTGCTATATTTTCTCATTCCTTTTTGTGAAGTGAGCAGCCTATTCAGCTTCGAATATCGTGCGAATATTCCATGTCCCCATGCCTTTTTCGATTTTTCGGAAGAGGACACATCGGCTGACTGGCTTACACAGGACTTTCGCCAGCCTCTGTCATTCTATCTCTGTTATTCCGGCGAAGAATAAGTTTATATTTTATATATTTTTTTATGTATTTTTTAAGTTCCTGTAGTGATTGGGTTGATTTTTCCTGAGTAGGGTCGCTTGCCACACGTCCGACTTTCCAAGTATTTCTGGGATTGGAACCTATCAATAAACTAGTGAACGATGACGAACACGTAGGATTTGAGAACTACAATGTCCACTATTCCCTAAGTGGCTTTTTTTATTCCTTCACGTTCCCAGTGGAACATAGGGCTTCAAGCTAGAGGCTTGAAGTTTCTGTAGTAGTGTTTATTTTTACAGGATGGGGTTGCTAGCCACATACCCAACCTTTCCTCTTCACCAGCTTTTAGTTCTGGCTTAGCGAGGTAAAGGAGTGGGCCGGCTGGGTATCGAACGCCGGACCATGTGCATGGTCGTAGCGATTTGAACGATTTCAATGTACATTTCATGACGAACTGGTGTCATTAAGAGAACTACCAAGTGTTCATGTGCAGGGATTTGATTGATTACAGGATCAATCACGAGCTGACACCAGTTAGAGAACCACTGGAAAGCTAAGGAGTATTGGACAGCTGAATGTTGGCTAGCAGTTGTGTTAAATACCGAGAATTAACAGAGTGTAGAATTAGTGGGCCATTGGATCAGGTCCCAGTGGCTGAATGACTTACGAGTTCACCTTGTAACCTGAAAGTCCTGAGTTCGAACGCCAGCGGGTGCATACTGTTGAAGAGTCCCAAACTAGGAAAAAACAGCTGTTCGTTTCTTCCTGGTTTCCGGTGGTTCTGTGATCATTCCCGTAATTAAAAGAACCGCTGAAGACCTCGGAGTACTGTTTCTTTAGACAATGTCAGTCTGGTGATGAGATTTAACATGAAAATCGAAATTAATTTTTATTCCTTGCCTTCAATCGCTTTTCTATTTTTCGCCTTTCTCTCAACAGTTCTTGGACGAACGAACAAAAATAAAACGAACACACACTGGATAAATGGAATTATAAAACTCCTGCCAATGGAAAATATCATCTAAAAATATGTATTGCCTACTAAACAACTTATTCAACATAATATTCCAGTCCGTTAAACATCGTAACAGCTCGCTTCATCATCATCATCATCATCACAGAAGTGTTCCACTAATTATTCCAACTCTTCTAATCATTATCCTATGCATAATGCAATCTTCACATTCAATTGAAACATCTGAATCAACAGTTTGTCCATCACAATGTATATGCAGTTCAAAACGTATGAATTGTGAACTCCCAGGTTTAAAGTATCTACCGCAACCACCAATGTTACAACTGGAATATTTACTCATACAAAATCAAACATTTATCAGTACACATTTAGGTCCAAATGAATTATCTGTATATCGTAGTGTTGAATTTGGCGGTAAAATCCAGCTGAAAAGTTTACATATCCGTTTTTGTAATATAGCAAGTTTAGGTCGTAATGCATTTCAAACATTAGGCTCACAACTACGTTTATTAGATTTAACTGGGAATCCGTTGATTGAAATCGCAGATTATGCATTTTCTGGATTAGATCAATTAACTCTGATCATGGATGAAATCAAATTACCAAATATTCGAGAGAATACATTCACTGGATTGACAAGAATGAAAAGTTTAATAATGCGTAATTCTAATTTACGTGAACTACCCTACAAGTCATTGGAACAGTTAACTTCTATTGGTAGATTAAGTCAGCTTATATTGAAAGGCAACCAGCTGAAACATTTAGATGCTAAATATGATGTGATATTTCGTGAATTACAAAATTTTGAAATTAATGATAATCCATGGCATTGTGATTGTCAGTTGAATTGGCTTATTAAACGTTATCGTAGTATACATCGTCGGGATTGGAATGAAAGTATGGAGAATGGATGGGATAGAGAGGATAGTCAACCAAAGTGTTCAACACCGCATTCATTAGCTGGGCATAAATTTAGTGATCTTATTACAGACTTATCTGAAGCGTATAATCCAGGAACAAGTAATTGGCGTAAATCTCGTCCACCGTTTATACTTTATTGTCCACCTCCACAACTGGAACGTCTTGATGTCGATCTTACTAATCTTCATCAAGTGAACAAGGATAAAGATAAGCCCGCAGAGGAATCAAATCTCCAGTCTTCAGATGTAAATAATAATAATAACAATAATAATGATAAACACCTCACTGTACGTTTAACATGTTCAATGAAAGGATCAACACAACTGTCGATCACATGGTATTATCATAATGAAGGTATGATGACAGTTAATCTGTCAAACCACCATGTAACACGAAAGTATCAGGATGAAAAACAGATTTCACGTTTAGTTAATGACAATGAACCTTGGCCTGTGAAAGTCGGTGAAGTGATGCGGGCTGAGAGTGAATTAGAAGTCAAGAAACAAAATGATGTGGATATGTATTCTTGTATTGGAAATGATGTCATCGGTAATGTCAGCGCAACTGTTCGTCTACAATGGCCACTTATTTTACCAAATAAACTACCACAAAATGTTAATGAATTATTACCCAGTACAAAAGTTGTACAGAACGACAGTAGAACTAATTATCTGAGCAATAATTGGCCTACTACACCCCTATCACATTCTGGTTCTGTATTACATACAAAACAATTTAGTCTAGGCGAATTAATCGCTGCTACAGCTGGAACATTTTTATCAACTGTTCTATTATTTTTTATTATTTATCAAGCACTTCATCGTCGTTTATCCCCGTGTGATAAACGTAAACAGTATAGACCTCATAAAGCAGACAATACTGTTCTCGATGTACCTGCAGTCTCTCCTGGCGGAACATCTTCATCTAACACGTCATGTAGTGCATCTAGAGCAGCTATAACTACTAGCTCGACAGAGACAACTGCACCAGCCAAGTACAATAACCAATTGTCCTACAGGACAAATGAATCCTGAATCACTTTCGATGGCAACAAATTTATTTAATGCTCAACAACAGTTTTTCAACGGGATTCCAAGTTTTAATCCTACCACGCTGCCTGTGAATATGCGTCAACAACAAACTATACAAACTGAACTAGGTAGATGTATACGACCAGCGCAAAGTGGGACAATCGGTGATGGCAGTTTAAACTCTATGTCATATGAACCAGTATCGTATTCAGATGCAAATAATGTAACGTATGATGTACCATGGATAGTAAATACTAATGGCAATACTATGGCTAATGGTTCAGTTAGTGTAAACCAAAGATTAACCAATGAACAATGTGTTCCATTATTATATAATGGTTTATCTACAGGGATCAATAATCAGATTGAAGGTAATGCTAATTCACTTATGCATGCAGGTCTACTTATCCCACCGCCACCATCCATTCCACAACCATCACTGCCAAATTCATGTACAAATTCCACTTTATCTTTAAAGCCTGTAAATGTTCAGCCTGGTCTACAAGCTAATCTACTCTTTCTACAGTCTGGTTGTTATCCAACCACAGGGAATTCAGTTGTATCGAATTCACAATTAAGTCAGGGATCTTCTGGTCATACAAATTATTTAAATTATCATACATAAATTTCATAGATAACTAAGTCGTTTTTTCTGTTCTTTCTGGTGTTGTTGTTACCATGTGTTTTTTGTCGTTGTTGTTGAAGTGTTGTTCAGCTGACAACTATCTCTCTTCTTCCTTCTGAGCTCATTTTCGACAGCTTTATGTACTTCACGAGCTTCACTCTTCCTTCTTTTTCCCCCTTTACTTTTGTGTGATTTCTGAAGGTGTAACTTTCTTCATCTCCCACATCCCCGCAAAGATGAATGACAAGTGATACTGTGTAACTCCTCTGGACAGACAATGATGGAATGATACGTTTTATTAAGAAAAAAATTAATCTCGGGACCACTTCATAAATGAGATGCATTTCACTGTAAAACATGTTGTCTTTGTCCGCATGTCTGTATATACATAAGGTTCAGATTGTTTCACATATTATTATAAATGAATTATAGACAAAAAGACGAAAATAACAATGAAGTGATATTACCAAGTGGTCCGTTAAAGTGTTTCGTTGACTTGAAGTGTGTTGTGTCTTTCATGTGGATAAAAAAATGGCGTAACTGAGTTTCTCTTGGATGTATTCAGACGTTTCAAGTGGGATCCCGCTTCAACATATTCGCATGTAAAAGAAATCAAAGGGAAGTTAGTTCTTTCTCAAAGTGGCTGTGCAATTATTATTATTACTATTACTATTGTTATTACTATTCTCATGAATATTATTACTATTCTTACAGTTAGTACTATTCTCATTTACTTTTTCTTCCATTTTATTGTGCTAATTTGGTTGCTGATGCATCGAATCTGTTATACATCGATGTATATTTAAACAGTTTGTAAATATAAACTAGCACATGAATTGTAATTATGAATATTCGTTTGTATGCATGAAGATAAGGCGTATCTTTTGAGTGGTAATCTGTGTGCCACAAGCATTGCTACTACTCTTGTACTTGTACTACTTACTGATTTTGCTTTGTATTCATAATTAAACCACAAAAAAGCGTAACCACGCACTGACACTATCCACTCAACGAACAAGCAACTATAAATATAATCGAGGTTCTGTTTTTTCTTTTGTTGTTTGTTTGACTGTGTAATTTGTTTGTTTGCTGTTCGAGTTTTTGTCTAAAAGAGAACCACTTCTTTTCTTTCATTATTCTGATCTGAAAGTGAACTACTTTTATTGGTTTATATGAAGGTATTGACATGAATATTATATGTATATTTATATATATTTATAAATATAAGAAATAAATTGAATACTCTTAAAGAATTTGTTTATTTTTTCAAGAGTTAATCCGTCTAACCATGGATGGATATCAGTTAGAGGACCACTGACAACCAACAGAGAATATTGGATAGTTGTTTCGTCCCAGTATGTGACTAATCGGCAGTAGGCACCCACCGCCAAGGTTCGAACGCAGAACCTTCCAGTTACAAGAAAAGCTAGCTCGTATACCTTTCGGCTGCTGGGACCCGGCTCAATAAACAACCCATGAATCCTAATCTCTACTAATTCTTGATTTTAGCTAGACAACTAGCCAAAGTCATCCGCAAGTATTTGTCATCACTTCTGACAGGATGGACCCCCTTGTCACGACTTCCCAGTAGAACGTCAAGCAACTCCGGTCACTAGGGAACATCAGATTAATTTTCAAGGGTTAATTTGCAGGGATTTGATTTATTTCATGTTTGATCACGGATCGATATCAGTTTGAGAACTATTGGAAATCACCAGTGGGTACTGGACAGCTGTTTCATTTTAGTTTGGGCCTCATCAACATTACTCACTCACTGAGATCACATGAGTCCCAGACTAGGAAGAAATAGCTGTTCCATGGTGGTTTTCAACAGTTCTCTAACCGATATCAATCTGTAGTCGAATTTTTTAAAATGTTATTTGAACATTTTCTACTACATGAATATATTTGGAGAGAATAGTTTTGTCTCTGTGATCATATTGTTATCTGATGGATTCTAATTAGCAGCGCAATCTAGAATAGGCTTTTCGTTCAATTTTAGATTCGTCAGAAAGGTGTACCTAAAATTTTATTAGTGAGTGATGACATTCTTACGGAAACTCGAACATAGCACCCATCGTTTCAACTAGCTGACTGACTGAGTTCCAACATAGAACTTTGCACAGAAGTTCATCGGTTCAAATTGCCACACTCTGTGTACTACACAAAGCTAGACAAATAAACAAAATTGGGTTCATAAGCACAAATATGAGGCAGAAAGAAGTAGATATGGGTGAAGACAAAGACTGAACGCATCTGCACTCCTTCTCACAACTTTCAGCCACATAACCAGTAGTTTCTAACCACTAGTTCTTATAATCTAGAGGACCCGAACCAGGTAGCCTACGTCTTCACCCTTTGTCAGCTCGAACCACTAGCCATACATTTCATGGATTCATTCCGTGTTTTGAACTGACCATCCCTTACTCTTTTCCAGCCTAATCCTATGTCAGCTTACGTTACCTTCCGGAGAAAGCGATGGCTGGGCATGTACAACAGGTGTCCTAGCCATCTGAATCGGTGTCACTTCATGACCTCATTGACTGAGTGACTCCCTTTACCTAATACTCCACGCCCAACCTCTATACTGCTCATCATATTATATCACTTAGTACGGGAGACAGGATGCAAACATCTTCGGTCAAAGACAGCCGACTTTTTCGTATCTTCCATTTTCAACAACAATGTTTCACAGCCATAAGGGAGGACAGAGCGAACTGCTGTGGAGTACACACGTGTTTTGATCCGTAGGTGGTGGTGACGTATGTGGAGGAATTCCATACGTACTCTTTGCATTCGTGGCGATATCTCATCAAGAATCAGTCCGTTAGGGTTGATGAACTTCCCAAATAAGTGAAGTGGTCAACACACTGTACGACTTCACTTCCTATCAATTGTTTCAAACGCCAAAGCATTATCCACCAAACCACTTGGGCAGTGAGAGCCACTAATTGAAATATCGACAAAACAATAGGACAGGGTTTATCTCATTCCTTAATAACATTTTCAAAAATAACGTAGCCGAAATTGTTAATAGTAAGTATGAACTGACAATAATAATATTAATAATTAAAGTTATAAAATAGTATAAATAATGCCATCATAACTTACAAAAAAGAAGGTAAAAGAGTTATTAATTTTGCTAATTACATATAAGTTATAAGTTTCACGCCTAACACTTTCTCTATCACGTAGAACAAGGGCCAACTAGGGTATCGTTGAAATTTTTTACTTGATTGTGCGAGCATTTAATCTTTAATAATGACTTCGAGTTCTACTTGATGAGATGTAAAGGGGGGGGGGAAGCGTTGTGAACACAGAGGTTGTTGAGTTTCAGAAAATACCGATTTATACCATTTCTATCAACTACTGAAGTAACAAGCTGACTAAGAGGCACATCACTTGCCATACTGACAACGATTAATACCCTTCTCAAGATCATATAGTCCTTTCTGAGTAGCCCAGGAAAGACTAAGGGGGAGCAATAAAGTACAATAGGTAAGATACAGGAGTTAACAATCTGTAAAAGTAAAGGTTGAGTGATTCCTGATTGTCTTCACTTTTTAATGTAGTAGGTTAAATGGAACATTTTCTTAGAAATCGACAAGATATGACATGATCAAGAAAGGTCAAAGGATAGAACTATTCCAGCGTATTTTGTATGCTCGATTTAATTTCTATTCCACTGCTGTCTATACTAAAAGCATCTTGCTAACGGACCACTTCGTGTAGATCATGTTCACGTCTGTAGACGAAGTTAACTGTATGACATTTAGAGGGATTTAAGATAACAGTCAGATCTAGGAAGTAACTTGCAATGAGACAGTCAGACCATCTCAGCGTATTTAACGAAGTTCATTTCTTCTGAGACAGGCAAGTCATGTAGGAAGAAAGAAAAAAAAGAGAGAGAGATAGAGAACAGTACCTTGAGGGATACCAGCTTCAGTAAGCATATTAGAGGAAGATTTGCCCTTATATTCAGCAAAGGTACTGACCTTCGTACAAAATATTCCGTCATATTTCTGTTCGATATAGAGCCATGTGAGTCAAGTGGGATTTATAACTTTAGAACAACACATTTAAGCGAACAATATTGTGGTTTCAATTAGATCTCATCAGGCTTAACTCTAATATACATAACTTTACAAATAAAAATTCCAATATAAACCAATCATGGTGTTTTGTCGACAAGATCAGTGAACATCTCCCATCGTGGTTTGGCAAAGGACAGACAAAAACAATCCGTAGCTCGATTTTGTCACATTTTAGTTGATAGTGGTCATATAGTGGAGAAAAACGAGAGCTTTCAAAGTAATTCATCATATCCCACCGAATCTTTCCAATAGACTTCGTATTCGTCTACTGCACACAGCTGAGGCGATAGGCATTCGAACTATTAAACCTAAACTATGCATTCAAAAGAAGTTTCGTACAGCCATTATCCCTCCCTTATTGGCCGATTGAGACATAACCAACTGGTGATTTCTACACCACCCCTTACTTGTATTATATTTTCAACGCCTCTCTTACCATCCCTTAATCTTATCACATCTTCATTAAAAACGTGTTTCATTTACTTCCCTTACAATCTAGCATTACGCAATCGGTTCATTTGTTTTTCTTAGCCTTTATCGACTACTACTACCTGAACACTTGTTTGTTTAATCATGCTGTTTTTCTTTATTCGTGTTATCACAGATTGCCTCACTTTTTCATCCTTATTATTGATAAAACCATTATTATTATTGTCATTACTATTATTATTGACTGATTGCACAATTTATATGCACAATCTTATTATCCTATAGACAAAACACCATGATTGGTTTATATTTGAATTTTTATTTGTAAAGTTGTGTATATTAGAGTTAAGCCTGATGAGATCTAATTGAAACCACAATATTGTTCGCTTAAATGTGTTGTTCTAAATTTTACTATGGGATTTATAACTGACAAGATATCAAATAGTAATTATTATTCTCTTTAATGAATTCGAACAA